CCAGCTCTACACCTTGTTATCTCTAACCTTTGTCCAAACTTTTTTAGGTTTGAAATTCAAAATTTTATAGAAAAATTGCTGGCCCTACCAAAATCAACTATAAAACTGGTGGATTGTGTTAAAATTCAATGGATACTTAATGATTTTTGGTGAAGGAGCCTTGCATCTTAGAAGTTGCTTAGCAAGCCATGCAGTTTCAGGGATAGTCAATAGCCACCAGTCTCGCATCATTCAGCAGGCTTTGTGATGTGGGACTTCCAGTCCAGAAGGGCTAAACTCCAGTTTCAGGTCTCTTATTTTACAACTGCCTGTATAATGGTAGCAGGCTAGCTGATGTTCGGTTGGATGGGCTACCCTCCCACCCCCATGCTCCCCCACCCCAATCTCACCTTTTAGCTAAGAGTGGGAGTTTCTAGAACTATGGTATCCTGTAAAACTTGAGGCCAGTATTTCAATGCTCTTCTCATAACTATAGGGCAAGATATTAACTAATTCAAACCTCACCCTGATTACATAGAAAATTTGAGTCAACAGCATTTCATTGCTGGCATCATCTTGTGGTTCTATGCTGTACAGTGTAAACGCTTTTCATGTACATTTAATAAAGAGGCAGCCAACACACCAGATGATTTTTAACTGTGGCATAATCACTGATTTGTAAATAGCAGCGGAACAATACAAGAATGGGGTACTGTAGTTAGACAATAGCGAGAGACCTCGGATGAAGATAAACATTGATAGAAGGGTTGAGGAAGACATTATAGCTTACTGCCTGCATTCCCTGTGAATTCAACTATCTCTATGATGCAATACCTTTTCAGAGGAGCAAGGGACAAGGGTTAAAATGTTTATTTACTATAAACGACATTTTAACTTTAAAATATATTTAACGTACACCTTTAGTTCTAAGATTTGGAGAGTTCTCAGCAGTGAATGCATACGGCCATCTGAGAATTACAAGCATATTATGGGATTGGAACCTTTAATGATAAATCATCTGGTTTTGGAAAAAATATATCACTTAAGCTGAATAGAATAGAATGTGGATATGAAAATATAAATGATAAGCACTGAAGGAATATTTAAAACATTCTAATGAAAACGTTGCTCAGTACACACCAACAAGGTGTGGCTTTATGAGTATGCAACTTACTTATTTATTGCTGTGTGACTATTAGCCCAGTTTCACAACTATTGCAAAATAAAGATCTAAGTCAGTCTACACAATGAGTTGTGCTAAACAGTGGTTAGATCTGCATTTGTACCTATGATTCTACACATAATGAGTTCATAATCTAGGCTGTTGGCACCGGGAAGAATGCAGCATAGATGTTTCCCATATAGGGAGGATGAAAAATGTCAGAGGACAAGTCACCCTGTGCTGTTGGAGACTGGCTCAAAAACAAAGCTTGGAACAGCTGCTATCTCAGCTGGAAGTACTGAGGGTAAAACAAAATAGAATCTTCTTTTATTTTGCTCAATTCACTGTTATGGAACAAATACATTAACAATACAAATCATTGTACACTAATGGTTCCAATTTAGACTCCAATTAAGTTTTTTAAACATCAAACTTGGCCTAGCTATTGCGCATCTAAATGCAAATCTTGGGATTCAGCATTCTTCTGACTTGTTTAACCTGGCTTCAATCGCAACATGCAATCTTTTCTTCCTGTTGGCCATGTACCTGAAATTCCTTTGCGATGACGCCAGGTGAATAGCTCCTTCTGCTTAACACGATCCTAAAATTGGGCAATTACAAGTTTTGGATACCAAAACAAGAAGACAAATCTTGTCTTTTCTACGCACCCGCTTCGACATAGGTTTTACACCCCTTAACGCTATTGCGAGCAGCCCAGGGGAACAGCTGCAGATTTTTAAAAAAAAGATAAGCTTTTATTTCATTTGATTTGAACACTTTCATTTATGATAAACCCGCTGCATGTAACTAAAACAAATGGCACGGCAGATGACGATGGGAATCGTCCTGGAGTTTGTCTGCACCTACTTCCTGACAGTTATTTCAGCACTATTGAAAAATTTGTCGTCGGGGGAGGGACAATGAAAATAACATGAAATCCATTTCAATGCGAAATCATCTGCACAATTTGGTCTCGATGCATAGCGCTCGTACCAAACGTATAGCTTTGGCATAATTTAGAATAAGCAGAACCTGTTGAAAACACAGTGTCGCAAAAAAGAAATCTAAATATAAAGGGAATTGACCCAGATTTTGTCATCATTTCACAGCTTATCTCTGAAACCCCTGCCAGATATTACTCAACAGTGAATTCCCTAGTGTCATTGGAAGGATGCCAATAACTTTAAGCCAGGCGGTGCCAGGCTGGTCTTGGAATGTATTTTCTCTGTATTGAGTTCTGTCTTAACCACACATCAATCCTTGAACGAGTCGATATCCATTTGAGGAGTGAGAGTTTTTCAGTCAGGGCGGAAAGCAACCATCTATCTCCATTTGCCTCAAAAACCGCTTTTCGCCTTTTTTTGTTTTGACGGGAGCATTTTTTTGGACAAGTATTTACGCTGTTGACAAATCTGCTGGCATTGCTAGATAATTCTTTCTGTCTCTATCCATTTTAATCAAGCTCTATACCTTTAATCATCTCTAACCCTCTCTGCCTATCTTTCTCTCTCAACATTCCTTATTTCCCATACTTCGCTCGCGGCCGATTTTTTTTTAACCGGCGATTCAAAAATTTCTGCAATTCCAGTTTCGGTGTTTTCCTTTAAAGACAAAAAATGATCTCAGCTTCTACCGAGGTAGGGCAAAGGGGAAAGCGTCAGTGTGTCGGACGAACGTCGGAACCCATCTCCGGGGTCACGGGCGAGGAGATACGGTCTATCCGAACGGGCGCGTGAAACTGGCGGCTGCGCAGTGACGGTGCGGCGGCGGCCCGAGCACGCGCACGCAGCGTCATTTTAACCGTCTCGGAGGCGCGCGCCGGCTGGCGGTGAGTAGAGCGAGAGGGAGGCTCGTGCTGTAAACGGCTGCAGAGCGGTGGCGGCGACGGCGACGATACCCGCAAATAATGCACGCTCCTGCTGTCTTCGGTAAGTCTCTGCTGCCTATTGCTTTCGTTCAGCGTCCTTCACCTACCCTTACCTGTTCCTATTTTATTTGCGGGGGCGGTTTAATTCCGAGTGTGTCCGGCCCATTAGGAACACATTCCTGAGTGATATGTGGGGCTTTTCTTTTGCATATTGGTTTTTTTTTGTGTGTGTCTGGATGGAAGGAAGGAGGGTTGCGTTTTCAGGAAGCGAATCGCCAAACGTTTCCAGGATGCTCCACCAAAATCAAAAGCTGGGGGGGTTCGGGGAGGGACAAGGTACTGCTGAAAGCTGAGATCCCCAAGGGTAATTGAAAGCCGCCTGGTTCGACAAATTTGACAGATTGTATTCTTTTTGTTGTCTTCATCTTTTCCCATTGTTTGTGAAGCATGCCTGTTTTGTTACTGATTTCGATTATAGGCCAAGCTCACCACTGTACCTACGGCTTTTTTTCTCTCTGGGAGTGGGGTATTTCACAAGGTAAAAGGTGCAAGGCGGACTTTACCTTTAAAGGCACAATACAGTGCACTTGAAGGGACTAATGTCTCAAACAAAAGCGACCGATTTAAAACAAAACGTCAATACTGAAAGTTATTGCAACAATTCGTGGCAAGTTTGACATATTGATGACTTATTTATATTCAAGCAATGCCAACGTCCCCTTTTAAATCAGGAATCACACAAAAAAGCAATTAGACTACCATCTCCAAAGGATATGTTGTTAAGTCTCCCTTTGCCTGAGAATACCCGTTGCAGTTCTGTGGGAAACATCAGCAATTATGGATTCACCCCTTCAATTTATTTACATCGTGTTTAGTAATTTTTCTCAGTACGTTCGAGATGAATACGAGTTAAATCGATAGATAAACAACAGTTAAATCGATTTTCTCAATTTACTAAGGAGTGTTCTGTTTGTTTTGCCAGAAAGTGAGCATTATTATTATTTTGAATTTATTTGTAGTAAACATAGCCGCAGTAGCTGTTAACTCGCAAAAGAAAAGAAACTAATCCTGCATAATGAATTTTTGTTCACAATAAAGTTTGTATGTTGATGTGAAGCATTGTCTAGTAATGCCCAAAGCACTGAAATAGCATTGCTCTCAGTTGCAACAAGATGAATAGTAACAAACGAATTTGATATTTAGTTGCGTACTTTGGTACTGTTTACTTTTTTAAAAAAAATTGTCAACAGTTATAATTACTACAAAAATAACAGTTTTGTGATTCAATTTGCTTATTTATTTATGCAAATAAATGTTCTATAGTTTTCCTCACAGCAAAATTCTCTAATACACATGGATATAATATTTTTAACCTTACTGTTAAAGATGAGTGTATTTTTCTTCATAATCACCTAACAAAGGGCAAATAATTTTCACTGTTAAGTTTTAAACTGGTACAAACGTGCATACTACATTTTTATGTTGATGACATTTACCTCTTATCCTACAGAATATCTCACTTGGGTACTGATTTTGAATAAAACAGTGATGTTTTCCTATCTACTACATCACTCAAATTTGTGAATGGATGCACAACTTGCTTTTTTTGCTGATTTACACAAACATTAGCAACATAAACACTTCACAAAGTAGCTTTCTAATTGAACTAGAGATATGAATTGATATTTATGTCTGTAACAAAAGATTTAGGAATCTTCAATGCTCCCTTTTTCAGGTATTATTATATTACAGTGTCGTGCAATGACAAAACTTATACCTTTATGGCCACCGTTTCTTTTAAAAATGTGGTGTTGATGCAGCACATTGCTCAAATATTATTGCATTATAAATAGTGAAATATACCTGTGTTTGATTTAAACACTGGTTTTGTGTACTACTTGTGGAGAAAAGGGATAACTTATCTTTGGTATATGCACGCTTAGTTTTAACTAGCTGAATCAAGGTTGGATTGGAAGAAGCCAATGATTAAGTCCACCAGTGTGCAATGCTTGATAATATTAAGTTTAAAAAAAACTTGAATTTTGGAAGAGCCACAATAAAAACTTGGAGAGAATTGTGAAGATCACAGAGGCTTTCACAATTTTAAAATGGAATAGAGCATAATGTAGTTTTAAAATTATTGAGGATCTGTATATCTTTCAAATATTCAAATTGTCCTAAAACTCTTGAACTTAGTTATGTAGCCTATTGAATTAGCAGGGTGAAATTTGCTGCCTTTCAGAAACAGTATAAATATATTTTAGATGTAGTTTGTTCCAATCTTTTTAACGTTTGGTTTCATTTTGAACATATTTTAAGTAAAAATACAAACTATGGCTTTAATTTTAAGATTAATAACTTAAAACTTGGGTTTTTCAATAAGAAAAGATAGCCTCTGGAATGAAGTCAAGACCAAGCTGTGGTCACCAGTTGTCTCCTTTGTCTATGCAAAACTTTTGTGAAGATTTGCTGAGAGTGAGAAAATTAAATATTTATTTTTGTTTCAGATTGTGTTTTTAAAATATACATTACCATTAATATACTTCCTTGGACTATGTTATTCGAGTTACAACTTGACATGACCAAACAATCAAAATGAAAAAAATCTATATGCAAGTTAGCTTACTGTCTTTTATTGATGAAAATGTTAGCGTCTTTTGTAAAAGGTGCAATAGCAAAGACATGCATAATATGATGGCTACATGAAGGGGAAATCAAGCCTGAAAAATTTAGTAGAATTCTTTGAGGCAATAACAGGACAGATAAAGGTGAAGCAGTTGATGTAATATATTTGAATTTTCAGATGGTTACATATTCGCCACTTAAGAGGCCACAGTGTTGGTGGTAGTATAGGAGACAGAATTGGGATAAGGAGGCAATTTTCAGGCTGGCAACCTTTAATTAATGGTGCATCACAGGGATTAACGCTGAGGCCATAATTATTTACAACATATATTAATCACTTGGATGAGGAAAGTCAGTGTAATATAGTCAAGTTTGTGGATGATACAAAAAGAAGTGGAAAGGCAAGTGGTGAGGATGATACAAAGAGTCTGCAGAGGGATGTGGACAGATTAAGTGAATGGGCAAAAACTAGGCCGTTCAAATATGAGATGTGAGGTTTTGCATTTTGACAGAAAGAATAGAGGAGCTGGATATTATCTGAATGGAGAAAGACTGCAGAAAGCTACAGGACAGAGGGATTAGGGAGTTCTTGTCCATTGAATATTGACCTTTATTTCAGAGGGAATGGTATATAGAAGTTACAAGGTTTAGTTAAAACTGTACAGGGCAGTCAGACTACAACAGGGACGACTGTGAACAGTTTTGGGCCCCTTTATCTAAGGAAAGATACATTGGCATTGGACACATTCCAAAGAAGATTTTCTAGGTTGATAGCAAGTATGGAAGGACTGTCTTATGAGGAGAGGTTGAGTGGATACAGCCTGTACTACTTGGAATAAGAAAAAGATGTGACCTTTTTGAAACCTATATGATTCTTAGAGAACTTAACAAGTTTGATGTGGAAAGATTGTTTCCCTTGTGGGAGAGATATTTTCTAACTGACCTATTCAGAAATGTTATTATACACCTCTGGTCGGCTTCCAAAATGAATTCACTGCCAAAACCCAGAAATGAACCAGGGACCTTTAACTCTTTCACAACTGAGCTATTTCAGAGGATATGATCACAGAATACACTCCCATTTAAGGCAAAGATGAGGAGGAATTTCTTCTGAGGGTTGGGAATCTGTGGGGTTTTTTTTAACCATAAGAGGCTGGGTCATAGAGTCATAGAACATGAAAACAGACACTTCATCCCAATTCGTCCACGCTGACAGGTACCCTAAATTGATTAAAGTCCCAATTGCCAGCATTTGGCCCATATCCCTCTAAACCCTTCCTATCCATGTACCCATCTAGCTGCCTTTAAAATGTTGTAATTGTACCCACCTCCATCATCTCTTCTGGCAGTTTGTTCCATACAAGCACCACCCTCTGTGTGAAATAGTTGCTCCTCAGATCCCTCTTATCTTAAACCTACACCTGTTAGTTTTGGACTCCTCTGCTGTAGGAAAAAGACTTTGGCTATTCATGCCATCCATGCCCTTCATGATTTTATAAAACTCTACAATGTCACCTCTCAGTCCAGTCTCTTCAGCCTCTCCCTGTAGCTCAAACCCTCTAATCCCAACGACGTCCTTATAAACATTTTCTGAGCCCTTTCACATTTCTCAACATCTTTCCTACTGCAGGAAGACCAGAATTGAATGCAGTATTCTATAGTCACCTCACTAACATCTTGTACAGGTGCAACATGACATCCCAACTCCTATACTCAATGCAGTGACCAATGAAGGCAAGTGTGCCAAATGCTGCCTTCATCACCCTGTCTACCTGCGACTCTACTATGCACCTGCACCCCAAGGTCTGTTTGCAACACTCCCGAAGACCCCACCATTAACTATAGTCAAGGCTGAGACAGAAAATTTTTTTTAATCAGTGAGAGAATTGGGGAGAAGGTAGGAAAATGGAGTTGAGGTTGATCAGATCAGCTATGGTCTAATTGAATAATGAAGCAGCATTGATGGACTGAATGTCCTACATCTTATGATCTTATCACCCAGCTACTGACCATAATGGATTTACTTGCAATGGTGATTTCTGCTCTTTCAATGAGCTTATTGTATACAAGTTACCTACTTTTTAAACATTTATGTCGTAGAAAATAGGAAACCAGGAGGTCAATTTTTAACTAATATCAGAACAATGAGATTCAGTGCATTGACTATGGAATTGTATTGAATCTAATTTTGTTCTGATCTGAGACAGAAAACATTTATGAAAGATTCAAACTCTGAATTAGTGGTTGACAGGTGGACATGGCAAGATATCCTGTTTTAAAACTTTTCACTGTATCAAATGACTAATACCTGGACCAGGTGGACTGCAGTGGTTCAAGAAGGCAGCTCACCAGTACCTTCTCAAGGGCAACTGGGACGGACAATAAATATGACCAGCCAGCAACATACACGTCCCACATACGAGTTTTAAAAGAAAA